GAATCAACTGTCTCAGGAAAAAAAAGTGAAGACCATCTTCATCTTAATCAAGTTCTCACAGTTCTTCAACCCGAACATGAAGCCGTTAGAGCCTCTCTACTGCACCTACATTGGATATGACTATATAAGAAATCATTTTTGAAGAAACTCATCTCAATCTTGACAAAACCTCAAATTCTAAAGTTGTACTTGCAACTACTCGTCCCTCGTATCAAAAATTTTGCAACAACACGTGTAAGAATTGCAATCAAACAGGTCATGTTTTTGCTAATTGTCTGACTGTCAAATGCAGATATTGTCATGCTCTTGGTCATATTCTTGAGAATTGTCGACTTGTCCTCCGCGACCAAAAAAGTGGGGTCTTTAAATCCAAGACTGTCTCGAAGTTTGGTTTTACTTCCGTCTCTGTTGTTGTCGCTGACAGTTCTACTGCTATCACTATGAGTGATCTTGAAGCACTATTCAAACAGGCTATCTCTTCCAATTCATCTACGGTCATGTCTATCACTCTGATAACTCTCATTAATTTTTTGACTCTGCTTATTGTAACCATATGACTAATAATGTTACCACATCACCAATTTCTTTCTTGTCACTAATCCACACTGCCAATGGTAGCAAAATGAATATCACTCACACTAGTCATACATCTACCTCCAATTTTAGCCTTCCTGAAACTCACTGTATCTCTAACTTAGTCCTCAACCTTATCTCTATTGGTCAAGGGTTGAATGTTAATTTTTCCCCTTCGTGGTGTCAGGTACGGGATCCACAAATGGGGCAGATTCTTGGAACGGGCCGCAAGGTGGGTCGATTATTTGAGTTTCTCTCTTTATCTTCCTAAAAAATTTTTGTCTGCTGCTACAACTAACAACTCTTCTACTCACCAATGGCATCTTCATTTTGGTCATGCCTTAGCTAGTAAAATTCAGCCTTTAATTTTTCGTGGCATGTTAGGATCTACAAAGTTTAAGTCATTTAATTGTTTACATTGTCAGTTTACGCAGAAACCAACATTATCTTTTAATCTTAGTAATTCCATTTCAGAGAGTCCTTTTAGCTTAATTCATTTGGACATTTGGGGTCCTTACCCTATTTCTTCAATAAATGATTTTCATCATTGTGTTATTTATTGATGATTTTTCTCATTTTACATTAATCTATTTTTTGAAAAATCGATCTGAATTACCAAAAACTTATATTTCATTTGCTAATATGTTTAAAACTCAATTCTCTTCTACTATTAAAATTTTTCGAACAGACAATGTTATGGAATATCGGGATATTTCCTTACTCCGATTTCTCAGTCAACAAAATACCTTGGTTCAGCGATCTTGTCCTCACACTTACCAACAAAATGGACGAGCTGAAGGAAAACATCGTTATGTACTTGATTTTGTTCATGCTCTTCTTGTTTCTACCTCTTATCCAGAAAAATTTTAGCCTGAAGCGGCTCTTACAGCAGTCTACAACGTTAATTGAGTCTCTACCTTAGTTCTTCAAAATTATTATCATTTTGAAAAAATTTTGGGAAGCCTCCCGACTATTCCCAATTAAACTTTTTGGTTGTGTCTGTTTTGTTTTATTACAACCTCATGAACATACGAAATTAGAACCACGATCTCGTTTATGTTGTTTTCTTGGTATGGAATTTAACACAGGCTATCGTTATTGGGATCCCATTACAAATAAACTTCGCATATCCCGTCATGTTACCTTCTGAGAAAATATCATGTTTTCATCTCTTTTTAAATTTTATCACTCTGTCAATATTAACTCTATGTTTCTCATTGATTCCTCAATTGAGTTATTTCCAAGTTCTGACACAGGTAATTCTGATACGCTCAATATTAGGCCTTCCACACCTGCTCCTATTGATTCTGCTCTAAATGTTGATCTTGCACCTACACCTCCACCTACCATTAACATCACTCTTCATCGTTCTACCCGGGTAAGATAAACTCCTCATTACCTTATTGATTTCCATTATTATTCTGCTATTGCAACCTTTCATGAGTCTCGGTCTTATCGTGAGGCAAGTACTGACCCTCTTTGGCAGCAAGCTACGTCCGAAGAACTTCAAGCTTTGGAGAAAACTCATACTTGGGACTTAGTTAATCTTTCTCCTCATAAGTCTCCTATTAGCTGTAAATGGATTTATAAAATCAAGACTCGTTTTGATGGATTCGTTGAACACTACAAAACTCGCTTAGTAGCCAAAGGTTACACTTAAGAATATGGAATAGATTATCAAGAAACATTTACTCCGGTTGCTCAATTAACATCAGTTCGTAGTTTATTAGTTATTGTTGCATTTCATAAATGAAAGCTTCTCTAGATGGATGTCAAAAATACTTTCCTCCATTGTGAGTTGTCAGAAGAGGTGTATATGCGTCATCTCCCTGGTTATCATTCTCTTCATAAAATCTACAAGCTCCGACAAGGTTTGTATAGATTAAAACAAGCTCCTCGAGTCTGGTTTGCCAAATTTAGTTCTACTCTTTGCTCAACTTGGTTTTATCTCTAACCCGAGATAAAACCCACATAATTCAACATTGTTCATTCGTCGAGCTGACCATTGTACTGTACTTCTACTACTTTATGTTGATGATATGATAATAACAGGTAATGATAAATCTAGTATCTCAGATTTAAAACATTTTCTCAGTCAATGTTTTGAAATGAATGACCTTAGCAATCTCAATTATTTTTTGGGTCTTGAAGTTTCTCATAATTCTGAAGGTTGTTATCTTTCTCAAGCTAAGTATGCATGTGATCTACTTTCTCGAGCGGGCACTACTGATAGTAAAATTATATCAACCCCCTTGGAACTCAATTACAAACTTACTCCTCTCAATGGCACTCCTCTTGATGATCCTACTTTATATTGACAACTAGAGCGGGCACTACTGATAGTAAAATTGGAACTCAATTACAAACTTACTCCTCTCAATGACACTCCTCTTGATGATCCTACTTTATATTGACAACTTGTTGGTAGTCATGTTTATCTCACCATTACTCGACCTGATATCTCATATGATGTTCACTTAGTTAGTCAGTTCATGTCAGCCTCTCGCTCATCAAATTTTTCTGTAGTTCTTCAGAAATTTTGATATATTAAAGGCACTCTTTTTCATGATCAACAATTTTCTTCTCACTCCTCTGTGGTGTTACATGGCTACTCTGATGTCGATTGGGCTAGTGATCTCACGGATCGTCGTTCTACCATTGGTTATTGTTTCTTCTTTGGAGCTTCTCTTATCTCTTGGTGTAGCAAAAAAGAAACAGTTGTTGCTCGTTCCGGCACAGAATCTGAGTATCGTGCTCTAGCTGACACCACATCTGAATTACTTTGGTTACGTTGTTTTTTATCTGATATGGGTGTCAAATAGTCTTGTGTTACTATGTTTTATTAGGATAATAGAAGTATTATACAGATCTCTCATAATAATGTTTTTCATTAGTGTATCAAACACATTGAAATTGATTGTCACTTTGTTCATCATCATATTACTCAGGGCACCATACTTTTAATTCTCCTCTCTTCTGCTAACCAGGCGGCTGATAGCTTCACCAAAACTCATCCTCCCACGCGTTTTCAAGATCAACTAAGCAAACTCAAAATGGAATCCACTATACCATCATGAGTTTGGGGGGTGTTAACGTGGTTATGGGAATAAATGACATTAATAGTCTTGATTCTATAGGCAAAATTTCAGGATGCATATAGGAAGATTTTTAGCTCTTATTTTTAAAATGTGACAGCTTTTCTTTCTTATTCTAGTCTTAGACCTCTAGTATAAATATTAGTCTTCATTATACAATTAGAAATAAAGATTTTTAGCTCTTATTTTTAAAATGTGCAGCTTTTCTTTCTTATTCTAGTCTTAGACCTCTGGTATAAATATTAGTCTTCATTATACAATTAGAAATAAAGAAATATAAATTTCTTTTCCATTATTACAAAGATTTCACTAATTCAAACCATATCATAATCCATCAGATCAATAATGGCGATAATATAGCCGATATTTTTACAAATGCCTATCCACCAACAGATTCCATCACCTCTGTGATAAGTTGTTGCTCCAATAAAGCCAATCAACTTGTTGGGAGGTGACAGCATAATCACCAAAGAATCACTTGGAACCAATACATACTACAGCTGATATTTATCTCCGTCATGCACTAAATCTGAGCCGTCAGAGATTAACTGATAAAATGTGCACCATTAGATCCTCTACCCTTGTAACTAACCTCTGTACACACCTCAATATAAATATGTTTTAATGCATTCCGGAAATATCAATGAATTGTTCTTAAATTTCAGAATTTCTGCTCTTCATGCTTTCCTCTTTCTTCTGCCTTTGTAACAAGAGCTAAAGCAGATTGAGGTTATCTTACAACCATACAATTAGTTAAAATGGAGTGATCAAGCTCACGACAATGATGTAATAACAACTCATCCAAAAAAAAGGAACAATAAACAAGCTTTAGACTGATGGTACCGCCAAAAGGGATAGCATTGAAAGTCAAAGGATGGTCAATGTCAGAACAAAGGCTCAATATGCAGGACTTACAGTCCACTCAAGGTCTCTGAGTTTGACTTACGGATGGATTATTAAGCAAATTCAAAATAATCAATTAGGTCAACATAATATTAGGAATTATATTGGGCAAAACTTCAGAAAATTTTGTTAATTGATGGCTAAATAACTCTAATAGAAGTTTAATTTGTCATATCAAAATGTTCTCTTACTATTTTGGTCGTATCTTTGGCAGTTTAAACAAGTCAATAATAAATAATGAAAAATTTTCAGCATATTATGTGATTAAATGTGCATTAGTAATACAAATATTATTGTGATCTTATACAAGTAATTAATTTTAGGAAAAAACACCCTGGGAGAACATGAAATTTTACAATATTTAAAAAGATTGACATCATAAGTTTGATATATACGTTAAAAGAAAGAGCGAAATTTTATGATATTAACCTGTAGCAACATAAAACCGACAATCACCCATAATGGAACCAACAACCACACCCTACATAAACCAAATAGAGTTATTAATTTCACAAACACCTAGTAGATTTGAAACAGCTTCAAAATCACAACAGTTAATAAATTACCTTCCCGTCTGGGCAATAACAAATTGCTGTGACTATTTGTTTAGCATCTGTCCAATTCACAACACGACATGTTGGAATTTCCCAAATGCGAACTTTGCCATCTATAGAGCCACTAACAAAATATTTCTCATCCATGGGATTAAACTGAACGCAAGGCACTGCAATATGTCATCAAAAGGATAATTCGGCCATTGACTTTTAATGTAGATTATAAGAAGTTTAGTTCAAGGGGCATACATTTTAAAAAATAAAGAAAGCGCACCATAGTCACTATGAGCAAAAACTTTGAGGCAACCATCACACCCCAATTGCCACAATCGAACAGTTTTATCAACAGAAGATGATAACAAACACTGCAAGCAGCAATTATTCTCAATGATTTCCATTGAAAGATTCTCAATTGAAACTCGATACGAAGTAAACAAGTCTTTGGATTTAAGTCTACCTTATCTTTTGACCATGCAAGATCCAACACGTCGCCTTTATGACCATGGAACTCATGCAGTGCTTTCTCCGATACCTCGAAGACCTCCGGAGGAACAATGACATGAGCTGAATCTGAAGTTCCGCAAAAATTCATGGACCTGATATTTTTAAGACTGTCAGCATAAAGATTTGAATTCCTTGGACGTTCCATCACCTGCCATACTCTCACAACTCCATCTTCTCCGCCACTAGCTATATGCTCTCCATCTGGGCTAAACTTCATTGTCAGAATGGCTCCATTATGAGCCTTAAAATTTTGCCCCATATAAAGTGCAGAGAATTCCTTGGACTGCTTTCTATTTAAATGCACTTGAACTCGCTGAAATCTTGCCTTCGACCTCTCATCAGAATCATTGAGAGCTGAACCAGTTAAATAACCTTGCCTATCTACAATACATGCCATGGAACCCAATCGCCTCAACCACGCAAAGTTTTTCCTCATCGACGTTTTCTTTGGAATGCCTCTTAAAAAGCTACCATTTTGGTTTGAATCTCGTGCAACAAAGACCCCATCCTCTGAATTCTCAGTTCTTCGCTCAAATTGCTCGCCAGAGGATCTCCCCAGTGAGGTGCAAGCAACTTCTTCAAACCTCTCCGAAGAACATTTCCTAAAAACAGCACCATATTCTGTGGAATTGCTATCAAGGTCACCTACAATTGTATCATTTGTCATTAGCTCATCATCAGGATGAATGGGATCCAAACCCATGTACTTCATGAACTTGGCTCGCCTTTCCTGTATGCTACCTGGACTCCTGATCCAAACTTGGTATAGAGAATCATCATTCAACAACTTTACAGAATTCTCTTCTCCCAATGAGACGTGACTAGTCGCCGGACTACCAGGGCATGAATCAAATACCGAAGACAATTCCTCTCTGGAATCAGAGAATACATCCTCCCCCTCCTTACCTCTGAACATGGAATCACAAGCCATCATATTCTTTGAATACTCATGTGTTTTTGTGCTGTTAAAACTGGAACAATGCCCTCAATTATCTCCAAAGCAAAGGAAATAGAACAAATAAACAAAAAGAATAGAACTTTATGATAGTAGTAACCAAATCTAACACAGGCCCCAATCGGAGGCCGATGACGCTAGCTCCAAATCATCACTGAGGCCGACATTTTTATTGAAATTTCGGAGAACAAAGCTCGGATCGCAAATAGAAATTGATATATTTATATATATATCAATAATGCCTCGCAGGGATATACTGATCTTACCTGAACAACCATGACCTCTGGTCCTTCGATTGGTTGGGAATGGTGGGAAAGGATTCGAGCGAATAAACAAATAGGGGTTGGGGAAGTGGGGTTGACTCTCGATCTCGGTGATCGGACGGACCGAAAGCGATGTCTGTCCACCCTCTTCTTCCTTCTTCCTCTTCTGCTTCCTATCACGTTTTGCAGAGCGGCGTGATTACGAACGGCGGGAATCCCCGAGATTACCCCTGCGTCTTCGTTTTACGATTTTACTTTTTTATCTCGATGTAGTCGACTCTCGAGAGTTCTGTGGTAAGAACTCTTCCAGGCATCCTTCTTTAAAGTTCGTATGTTATACTTGGCCTCATACATGTTATGGTGACCTCATACAATAGTTATGGATCTGATCATTGATGTTAGAAGTGGAGGTAGAGGTAGAAGCTAAGTTATTATTTCTAACAGATGAGTTGGGTAGAAGAGATGTAGAGGTATGAGAAGAATATGTCATATAGATTTTGAACAAATAATCAATCTAGAAAGACATGAAGAGAGTTTCTTTTAGTGATATCTTAAACGTGTATTAAGCCTCATAGATTGACACATTATCCATTTGGTTAAGTAATGTAATATCATTCCTTGGACAATCTTTGATGGGAAAAGTATTTGCTTACAAAAAAGATGGAGCAAAGTCATCTCAAGTTGAAATTGTGCCTAGGATAGTTAATTTAACCACATCTTAGTTGTATCTAAAAGGTAAATGGAAACAAACTAAGTTTAATGGCATCATCAAACTCTCTAATGTACTTAAAGGTTGGACATACGCTGAGAAATTAGCTATATACAAGTGAACCTGCAAATTATGACTTCTAGGCCATTTGGATTAGTAGAGGCTTTAGCTCAAAATTGTCAGCTTGAATTATAAACATAAAGATGCTTTGCCCAAAGGTTTAACATATTCGCTCAATTATCTAGATTTGTCGTCTTCATTATGTTAGTTAGTTGTTGTTTGAGGTTGATTTTTTTCTTCTTTTTTTTTCATTCATAATTTTTTTAAAGTTTTTTTTTCTAGATTTGAACAACACTAATTTTATATTTTCTATTCTACACATACACCACATAGGACGTAGTTTTAAGCAAAAAATAATACAAATACAATAACAATAGTAATAGCATTGTGATGTTAGTGAGTTTTAAGCAAAAAACAATAACATACTATGCATTTCGCTTACTGAGAAATACATACATTTCTTTATTTAAACAGCAATAAGATCTTTATCCAAACCACCGTGGGACAAAACTTGCGAAATTTACATACATTCCAATCAATTCCTACGTATTTACATATCTGACACGTAAACTTCAAATTTTACATAAATACTACCTTAACTATGTATAAAAAAATGTAGTTCACTTTTTGAAAATTAAAGTAGTGACATCACAAAAATTATGATGATGATACTTTTGATATGATATGAAAATTTTGGGTGATATAAATGTTCAAAGTGAAGTTTGTATGTTAGATGTGTATATACGTAAGAATTATCTTGTATGTATGTAAATGCCCCTATATTTAAAAAATAAAATTTCATTTTTGTATGCTCTTAATATATATTTGTATTAAATTTTTTTTTATTTTTTATTAATTATTTTGCATAGATTTATTGAATTATTATGTATATTTGTATTATAAGAATATACAAAATAGATTGAATTGCTTGTAATATTATTTATTTTATCAATGATGGTAAATTTCACATTTTAATTTTGAATTATGTGCTATTTATTTAATTAATAAATTTGTATAATAAGCTTGCCCCCCTTAGAAAAATATGTTGGTTCCACCCCCACTTTTACTAGACATTTACAGGAGGATGTACAT